GCATCCAGGTGACTATAGTCAACAATGCTATTTGCAATCCAGGTGACTATAGTCAACAATGCTATTTGCATCCAGGTGACTATAGTCAACAATGCTATTTGCAATCCCGGGTGACTAGTCAACTAATGCCTATTTTGCATCCAGGTGACTATAGTCAAACAATGCTATTGCATCCAGGGTGACTATAGTCAACAAATGCTATTTGCATCCAGGTGACTATAGTCAACAATGCTATTTGCATCCCGGGTGACTATAGTCAACAATGCTATTTGCATCCAGGTGACTATAGTCACAATGCTATTTGCAATCCGGGTGACTATAGTCAACAATGCTATTTGCATCCGGGTGACTATAGTCAACAATGCTATTTTGCATCCGGGTGACTATAGTCAACAATGCTATTTGCATCCAGGTGCTATCAACAATGCTATTTGCTATCCCAGGGTGACTATAGTCAACAATGCTATTTGCATCCAGGTGACTATAGTCAACAATGCTATTTGCATCCAGGTGACTATAGTCACAATGCTATTTGCATCCAGGTGACTATAGTCAACAATGCTATTTGCATCCAGGTGACTATAGGTCAACAATGCTATTTGCATCCAGGGTGACTATAGTCAACAATGCTATTTGCATCCAGGTGACTATAGTCAACAATGCTTATTTGCATCCGGGTGACTATAGTCAACAATGCTATTTGCATCCAGGTGACTATAGTCAACAATGCTATTTGCATCCGGTGACTATAGTCAACAATGCTATTTGCATCCAGGTGACTATAGTCAACAATGCTATTTGCATCCGGGTGACTATAGTCAACAATGCTATTTGCATCCAGGTGACTATAGTCAACAATGCTATTTGCATCCAGGTGACTATAGTCAACAATGCTATTTGCATCCAGGTGACTATAGTCAACAATGCTATTTGCACCCGGGTGACTAGTCAACAATGCTATTTGCATCCAGGTGACTATAGTCAACAATGCTATTTGCATCCGGGTGACTATAGTCAACAATGCTATTTGCATCCGGGTGACTATAGTCAACAATGCTATTTGCATCCAGGTGACTAGTCAACAATGCTATTTGCATCCAGGTGACTATAGTCAACAATGCTATTTGCATCCAGGTGACTATAGTCAACAATGCTATTTGCATCCGGGTGACTATAGTCAACAATGCTATTTGCATCCGGGTGACTATAGTCAACAATGCTATTTGCATCCGGGTGACTATAGTCAACAATGCTATTTGCATCCAGGTGACTAGTCAACAATGCTATTTGCATCCAGGTGACTATAGTCAACAATGCTATTTGCATCCAGGTGACTATAGTCAACAATGCTATTTGCATCCGGGTAACTATAGTCAACAATGCTATTTGCATCCGGGTGACTATAGTCAACAATGCTATTTGCATCCGGGTGACTATAGTCAACAATGCTATTTGCATCCAGGTGACTATAGTCAACAATGCTATTTGCATCCGGGTGACTATAGTCAACAATGCTATTTGCATCCAGGTGACTATAGTCAACAATGCTATTTGCATCCGGGTGACTATAGTCAACAATGCTATTTGCATCCGGGTGACTATAGTCAACAATGCTATTTGCATCCGGGTGACTATAGTCAACAATGCTATTTGCATCCGGATGACTAGTCAACAATGCTATTTGCATCCGGGTGACTATAGTCAACAATGCTATTTGCATCCGGGTGACTATAGTCAACAATGCGTTTTGCATCCGGGTGACTATAGTCAACAATGCTATTTGCATCCGGGTGACTATAGTCAACAATGCGTTTTGCATCCGGGTGACTATAGTCAACAATGCTATTTGCATCCGGGTGACTATAGTCAACAATGCGTTTTGCATCCGGGTGACTATAGTCAACAATGCTATTTGCATCCGGGTGACTATAGTCAACAATGTTATTTGCATCCGGGTGACTATAGTCAACAATGCGTTTTGCATCCGGGTGACTATAGTCAACAATGCGTTTTGCATCCGGGTGACTATAGTCAACAATGCGTTTTGCATCCGGGTGACTATAGTCAACAATGCGTTTTGCATCCCAATGAGTATACAGTTTCAAGAAAATGTGAACCCTTTGGATTCTCCACACATAGCGTTGTGTGTTCCTTCCAAACAACTCAACTTTGGTTTCATCTGTCCACAGAATATTTTGCCAGTAGTGCTGTGGAACATCCAGGTGCTCTTTTGCAAACTTCAAACGTGCAGCAATGTTTTTTCTGGACAGCAGTGGCTTCCTCCGTGGTGTCCTCCCATGAACTCCATTCTTGTTCAGTGTTTTACGTATCGTAGATTCGTCAACAGAGATGTTAGCTTGTGCCAGAGATTTCTTTAAGTCTCTAGCTGACACTCTAGGATTCTTCTTCACCTCATTGAGCATTCTGCGCTGTGCTCTTGCAGTCATATTTACAGGACGGCCACTCCTAGGGAGAGTAGCAACAGTGCTGAACTTTCTCCATTTATAGACAATGTGTCTTACTGATGAACATCAAGGCTTTTAGAGATACTTTTGTAACCCTTTCCAGCTTTATGCAAGTCAACAATTCTTAATCGTAGGTCTTCTGAGAGCTCTTTTGTGCGAGGCATGGTTCACATCTGGCAATGCTTCTTAAGAATAGCAAATTCAAAACTGGTGTGTATTTTTTATAGGGCAGGGCAGCTTTAACCAACACCTCCAATCTCGTCTCATTGATTGGACTCCAGGTTGGCAGACTCCTGACTCCAATTAGCTCTTGAAGAAGTCTTTAGCCTAGGGGTTCACATACTTTTTCCACCCTGCACTGTGAATGTTTACATGGTGTGTTCAATAAAAACATGAAAACATATAATTGTTTGTGTGGTATTAGTTTAAGCAGACTGTGTTTGTCTATTGTTGTGACTTAGATGAAGATCAGAACACATTTTATGACCAACTTATGCAGAAATCCAGGTAATTCCAAAGGGTTCACATACTTTTTCTTGCAACTGTAGTGATCAATGCTATTTGAACCAGGGTGACTATAGCGAACAATGTAGCGAAAAATAATATTTGCACCCCGATGAACAGTGAACAATGATATTTGCACCCGGGTGTATATAGTGAACAATCCTACCTTTTACATGTGTATCCTTCATACCAAAGATGCACTTTCTCTGAAAAGACGTCTTCAACTGCAGTTTGGACATTACTTTTGGAGCATGCTTTGGTGCTTAGTGAAGCCTGATCCAAACTTTATGGCATTATGTGACAAAGGAAAGGGGAAAAAGGGGTTTCTCTATTTTCACCGGGGTGCAAATAGACACTCCGTAACTTTATCATGTATGCTTTGGTCTGACATTTGAGAATTTAGATGATTGCACTCACAACTTTTTTTGTTCTTTTTTAATTAACAATTTTAGATTTCATTCTGTCTGGACTTAAATTTCCAATGCAAATAATGCCTTGATTGCCATATCCTGTCGATTTGTCTCTGTCTGTCTAATCTGCCACAGTGAGTGTGAAGAAGGCTGTGAGTTTGATTAACACGCTGCTTGACTTGGAAAAGGAGAGAAGTCTGGGTGTGCACACTGGGGCTGCCAGAGGTGATTATTACCCTTTGTGTTAAAGGGGGAGGCCTGCAGGTTCAGCTCTATCCTGCTCAGACCCTCTCCAGCTGTGCTATAAACGGCCTTGGACCGACTAAGAAGAGTCTTTCCAATTGAGCATGAGGGTTGTTTGCATGTAAGGCAGCGATCTGATGTTTCCTGCAGCCTCCCTGCAGCACAGAGCAGCAGTCAGCCGCATCGCTGACACAGGCCACTGAGCAGCACGATTAGCTGCTCCCATCGCTTCCACTACATTTAATGTTCACCTCCTGTTCATGCAAAGGTTTATTTTAAATCAGAGGTGACTTCAAACCAAAGCCTTCATTATTTAATGTGGTGAAGTGCAGGAGTTTTCTAATCGTAAACAGCTGTGATTTTAGACAGTGTTTAAAGAAAAGTTGTGAAGCTTTAATGAGAACAGTTTTTGGGCAATGTTATTGTCCTTCTTTTGGTGCCAATTAGCAGCTTTTAGAAAAAAAATTCATTTCATATTTTTAAAGAGCACTTTGAAACTGTCTTAAGAATAACAATTGCCATTATTTATCTTTATTTAACTTGTTATGTCTTAAATTGCTGTCTTCCATACAATGTCTAAAACATAGGATGTTATTTGTGCATGTGTGTTTTGGCTTATTTGATGTTTAGGTCAGATCAAGTTAGATGTATAAATAACAACAAAAACGGAATTTGATCACTTTGTTAATGTATTTTTAAAGGGGTTGTGATGTGTAAGATGCAACTCATTTGTTCATCAAAAAGCAGTTTTTCTACAATTTTGTTTAAAGAAATACATTTGCGATACATCATATTATGTGATATTCAGTGAGAAGAACAAGGGATTTTGGTGACACTGCCTAATGAATAAAATCATTATATTGATGCATAACATCTCGGGGGCTTAATGTAAATGTAGCACAGTGAGTTTTTTTTGCGTGTGGCTTTTTACAATCGGATTTATCTATTTATTTCCTATCCTATCAACTGCAAGATATTTATTTTGCTGTACATTTATTTGATTTAATCCATTAAATCATTTTGGATTATCATATAGGCCAATACAACAGCTTAATATAAAACATTATCCGATTTATGGGTAAATCAACACAGAGTATGCATCTGACTGATTATTTGCTTTATTTGTGTCTCAGCCATTTGGCTTCTGTTCTTCCATCAGACGCTTCAAGCTTTTAGTGCGCTGCCATCCCATAAATACCAGAGAGGGGGGATCTGCGGATTGTCTGCAGGCCGTTTCCACATGGCTTTTTCACATTCTAACATTTAAATTGAGAGTGGGGAAGAGAAGGAGAAGGGGGACGATTTGTAGTTTGCATTGTGACCAACAGAGGGCGCTTAAGAGGCTCTACGGTCCCACGGAGAGAGTTAAATGATCCCAGTGTGATCTGGCACGGAGGCGGGAGGGGAGCAAGTCCTGGACGAGGTTTGAGCCAGAAGCACTCCACTCCCGACTTTAATCGACATTCCTCCGTTAGTCAGGCTCGCAAAACTGAGCACAACAATTCACTGTGCGTAATTACGCACGGCGACGAAATATTCTCGGTGTTGTCTCGCTGTGGAAGCCTGCGGACAAAGGAAGGCAGAAAGGCTGGAGTACAACAACTGACTTGAGAGGAGAGGAGGACTGTTGCAGGGGGAACAGGGGAATCTGCAGTCGGAAGTGATTTGTCTTTTTTCGGAAATGTAAGTTTCGTCCAGCAATTTGGAGAAGAGGCGAATCTGTTTGGAAACAGAGGAGAAAGGGACACAAAGTGGAGCGGTGAGTGGAATCAGTCCTCTAACAGCATCCAGATCCTCGGAGCATGGGGTAAGTTAGACATTTGTGTGTCCTGCTGTCGGGAAGTGATTTTTTTCAATGTCGAAATGCTTAAAAAAAGTGAACTTTGTGGTGACGTGAATGTTCTGAGCGTGTGGCTGTTATGTCCTCTTAGTCAGCACATGCTCTTTAATAAAAAACAAACAAAAAACATTTCAGTCAGAACATTAACATCAGTTCACAATGCTTTGATAACGCTCTGATAGACAAAACCGTGAGAGAAATATTGTTTGTGAACTGGATCCAGTCTGAGGTCTGTTTACACCGTAATTAAATAATGTTATCGTAAAAAGGTCAAATTCACATGTCAGCAGATCATGCCTGCATCATATTACATTTCAAACTAGCTGACAGTCTTTAACATGCACCCATTTTGTACGGTCATATGGTAAAACACACAGATTATCCATGCATCCTGCAGTTAACAGAGTTACTGCAATTTCCTGTTCTCTATTCCTATGATTTTTGCATCAGACACACACACTCTCTGGACCCTTTCCAAGTCGATTGCTATGCAATCCTTGGTGGGTTTTCTTTGGGAAGATTCTGGTGTCAAGCTGTGCTCACTCTCATTAGGTGGGAGTGTTGTGTGTTGAATAAAAAAAGCAGGCCTTCAGGTTGGCTCAACACACCTGAACCCTCCTCACATTACCTTATGGGCCCATGCTGTCACCCCCCCCCCCCCCTGCAGGCTGGTTTAGTGACATTTTAATTGAGATGCTTCATAAAGAACGTGTTAGGGCTTCTTCATTACTAGTGTTATATTCTATAGGTTGCCTGATTTATCTTCAGTGACAGTGAAAATAAGCAGACCGTGCTGATAAATGGAGACATTGTGATAAGTCATGGGCCAATATTAAAATGTCATGTTAATGCAAATCATGATATTATCCCAATTATATACAATATGCTTGAACATTTCTCAGTCTAGTTCCATATTCCAAGAAAAAGGTACTTAAAGGCAAAATAGCTGTGAGTTGACTTCATGCAGCTCCTTGACACCTGAGCACACAGCTGTCAGTGACTATCAGAAGTATTAAGCAGAAAAACACTATTTTAAAATGAATGCTGTTTTAATATAGAGATTTCCTTCCTGCATATCTATGAGTTTTGGACAAAAACATTTAAAGACACTACCTTCAACTTGAACAATCTGACACATGTTAATTATTAGGATTAATTGTGGAAAGAGCTGCAGATTCATCTGTAATGAAAGTTATTGTTTCTTTTCAGCTTTAATGTGCAGACCAGTGAGAATGCGGCCTTTTGACAGTATAGGTATCTGATCTGAAGATTGTGTTTAATACACGCTCAGAACCTCGACCAGATCAACTCAGCATCGTCCCTCTGTGGCAGCTGAGTTCAATCACTTAATGAAAGTCATGTAGTGCCACCATGCTCACTTAGACAGACACATGCACACCTGACAGACGAGACCGCATGCAGCTGCTCCTGTCAGAAGTGAGCATCAGGAGGAGGAAAGCCTTTATTAAAATCCACTTTAGGTCCATAAACAAAAAGACACCGGTGCTATCATTTATTTAAAATACTTTATTTTGATCTTTCTTTTAATCATCTTCCAGGCTGTGGGATAATGTAAGCGAGGGGGATTGCTATGGGAATGGAGTACCTGTGTATTGCAGATCTATGGAAAGATTGAAATAATGTTGTTTAAAAAAGGGTCTTTGTGCTAGCTTTCCTCCATTTTCTTATTCGATCACTGATTGTGAAGTTTAATTTTCATTTCAAAATGTGTTCAGGTGCTTAGCTGCTCTGAGCCTATTTACTGCTTGTTGTAAAGTACTTGAATCATATCACCTGACTTTTCTTCTCCCAGTTGGAATATATAAAATGCAATGGAGAGAGTCTTGATTTAATGGAGGTCTTTTATTTCTCTGTAACAAACTGCTGACGGCTACCATTGTTAACAACATGCAACGGCTTTCAATTTCCATTCATCAGGTTAAACCATATATCAGAAACAGATGCTCACGGCAAAGCAAGTACCTGATATACACAAGGGGCCCACATCATACAGGAATACCCCCTGAATACACCATATCAACACAACTCAGTAAGGGATGCTAAGGGCAGCCCTGATTTACTAGAGGTGTTCTCCAAATTTGGGAATGAAAAGATGCACTTCTTGACCGCATCGTAGACAGCCCTTTCAACCAATTTATTTATGCAAGCAATTGACAGTCTTTGTATAGTTTGTTTATTTGTAACTGAAATATTGCTGTGATTCAAGTTCTTTTACTTTTATGAATTTACCTTAATTGAATTCAACCCCAAGGTCTTCTTGAAGTATGAAGTATAGCTACACTGTGTAAAAACATTATTGGATTGGATTGGATTAGCACTTGGTATTAGCAGATATGTCATTGGGATGTCAGCAAATAATGCCCTCACAAGCTTCACAGATAATTGATTTCATGTGTAACTCGGATCCTCTTTCCTCTTGTTCTGCCGCAGAAGAGTTGTCTGCCAGCTGTAAAATGTTCCCGCTACATCGAGACAGGTACAAACCCACGTCGTCTCTGTGTTGTGGCTCTGCATGGCTGGGATGGGCGAGAACTCAAGATTAGTTTTTGATCTTATCCTAAACGATACTGAGCATGACATGAATGTTATTGATATCAGCAAAAGCTACTTAAATAAGTGAGACTTTTTTTTTTATGACTTTGAAAAGTTACGTTAAACATCAAATGTATGTATTTATGCTGTCCGGCTCTGCTTAAACATGAAGAATACACCCTCAGTATCTGTACTTCTTAAGTTTTAGGGATCTATACGCCCATCCCTACTTCATCAAACATTTATTTGTCTCCAAAACAACATCCCCAGAATGTTTATCCTTCCTCAGTATCTATACTGTTATCTGTGAGATATGGTTCTTCTCACTGAGGACGTTTCATGCTTGTCATGATGTGAAGATGTTGTCAGCATGCTCGCCTCCGCCTGCCGCCGTTGTCTGGTGTCTCTTTCCTCATATCGTCCCCCGTCAGTTGCTCCATTGCAGCTCCATTGCTGGATTGTTTCAACTCCTTACAGTGCATTGTATTTTTATAAGCTGTTGGTATGTTTTGCATGTTAAACTGTGATTTTTCAAAAATAACTACAACTATCGAAGTATACAGTGTTTCCCTCTGACATGCAATGGATCTAATCGATATACATTTGGATCCTCAAGAGACGCATTACATTATGTTGATTCAGCTGACGCTTTTATCTGAAGTGACTCTAAAATAAATGCATTCAACCAGGTGGGTGCAACCACAACCCAAATAATAATCATGCACGTACATTAACATTCAGTAAGCAAATATGTTGAACTACTTCCTGTGTCACATTTAGAGACAATTAGAGAAATATTAACTTTTTATTTGCCTCCCGCGACAGTTAAGGCTGGAGGCATTATGCTTTTTTGTTGTTAGTCCCATTCCTGGAACGCCATTACCCAGGAACACCTTGAGGAAATGTCCTCACTTTATGCAGAAACGTCCACTGAATTCAAGGATAAACTGATAGGATTTAGGAGGTTTAAGGTCAATGTCACTGTGACCTCACAAAACACTTGTTTGGCCAAAACTCAAGAATTAGGGTTAGGATGTATGAGGCATGGATGTAAACTGAGAGTAGACTAGCTGGCGAAGGCATACGACCAAGAGAGGATCATTCCAGTTTTTAACTTATGGGACAAGTTAAACAAAATTTTTCTAAAGATGAAAAGCAAACACGTGAGTAGAAAGCCGAATTGTTGTAGCGCAGTGTACACAGTGGGGCTTCTGCATTTTGGATCTACAACATGCCAATACCTACCGACACAACTCAAAGCTAACCCCAGCCATTGATTGCTAGAAAATGTATATTGATACTCAAAAGATGCTGTTATACATGACCAAAAACCATAGTTAAACTTGTAGAGGGATACACCCATCCCTTTTATTGCCAGAAGTAAGATGAGAAGATGGATACCACGTGGTGTATAAAAGTGGCCTCAATCGCCTAAGCCTAAATAAGTGAATAATGTTAATTACATTGTCAAACTATTCCCTTTTGTTCTTCAGGAACATAATCAGTTAATCTGCAGCAATAAAGGCCGTTAAATCTGTTCAGCGTCAGCGTCCTTCCAAGGAGAAACCAGCTGCTCAGTGGAGAAAGCCTCTTAATTGCTGTTTGAGAGACATTTGCGATTGCTTGAATAAACGGTAATCTCTGCTTACTCTTTCTGTTCACTCCATTTCACCGTGTTTTATTGGCATAGTGAGTAATAACAGTGCTGCCGCAGGAGGAAGACAAAACATCCTCTCTTTTTCAGTGCTTCTCCCTGACCTTGATATCCTGAATACAGAGACCACTCCAGCTCTGCGTCACCTTCACAATGTGAGAGAGTAGTTATCAGTCAGAGGAGCTGACCTTCAGATAAGTGAAGTGCCATGCTGTCATTTAACACAACCCGAGCTCAAGAGTCAAAAGTGTTTTGCCAATGAGGGCTTTTGGTTGTGAGGTGTAAAAGATTCCATGGGAGTTGGTCAACATCTTCTGAATACCTGACCACCACTTGTTTGACTCCCAACGCCTTCCAGTGTATAAACTTGGCCGTGTATATGTTGTGCTGCAGATATGGTGACTTGTTGGGCAGCTTCAGTATGAGTTAGCGTTTCCCTTCGCTGGGCTATTTTGGTGTGTAGTTGTAGCGTGTCATGTTGCCCGACCGGACCAGACACTTTCGCTGGCTCGGGAATGTGGACACGAGGCAGTTTACTCTCAGAGGTCGGCGGAAGCAGACCCTTGAAAGGAGAAATGCTTCGAGAGGAACAAAGAAACTGCCAAAAGAAGAAAAAAACCTTTTCTCTCAGTGCAGTGGCTGGAGTCCCCAGAGGCTGAAAAAGTGCAGCAGAGATCCAGTTTGTTGTTATCTTAATGCACAGATGGTGAAAGATGATGCTCTGCTGAAGCACTCAGCTGACGCTCTTCTTTAGACTGAAACCAACTCTTTTTTTTCTAGGCTTATGGGTTACGTGTTATTCAACCTTGAGTTTCTGTTAATACTCTAATGTTAATATACAATTACAATAAGATGTTCAGATAAACAATATGGGCTCAGAACAGTCTCATAATACACACATGCACACAGAAGGATTCACACTTGTATTTCTGGATCCACACTTGTGTTTTTCAATGCACACACAAATGTGTTCCGTTTCATATACATGTAAATAAAATTCAATTACAGAAAAAAGTTTTACATATGTATTTTTGATCCTCACATATTTGTTTTCCATTTAAAACCTCTGCACCTGCAAACACAAACAGCTTTCTGTGCACGGATCGCTGTGCATTCGTGTGTGGGTTTTTTGAGACTCCCCTGACTGTCAGCCGATTCGTACTTGTAATTTTTTCTATCTATAGCCAATCAGATGTCTCCTTCATTCTAAGCCAATCACATGAGCGCGCCCCCACGAGGGTATGATTTCTTGCGTTCATGACGTAGCGCTTCATATACGCATTTTGCGCTGTCCGGTCAGCTCGCTAAACAGAGGGCGGAGCATCAGGTGATTATGCAGAGCTGCGTGTCTCCATCAGACTCAGCAGCTGATCTGATCTCTCTCTCGCGTCCGGTTACACTTCACTCGTGTTTATGTCCATATCGATCAGATCCAGCTCTCCTGATCGGCCTTTATAGAGTCTAGAGAGCACCGATCAAACTATTAAGAGCCGATAACCGGTGGGGCTCCCCCCGTTGACAGTTCACTGTCTAGCACTGGCTTCGTAGTGCACTGATCGATTAGGCTAAGCTAACCTGTAGCTGCTCCCTCCACACTCACAACAACTTCATACAGACATAAATAAAGCAGCTGTATTCGCCACACAGGAAACACACATTTAAAACGGTTTTGCCTGCCGTTTTTGTGTACACAAGCATTCATCAAGGGTTCGGAAAGTGGCGCGGTGCCTTAATAATATAAAGGCTTGTATTTGCGTGCATTTCCTGTTCGGAAAGTGGCGCTGTACTGAGAGTGGAGATGTCCTGACATTAGCGCATGCAGGCAGGCTCCATGGACCTGTCAGCTCCGGACTGCGCAAAATCCGTACATGAATCGCTACGTCGTGAACGCAAGAAATCTACCCTCGTGGGGGCGCACTCATGTGATTAGGCTTAGAATTGAGGAGACATCTGATTGGCTATAGATAGAAAAAATTACAAGTACGAATCGGCTGACCGTCAGGGGAGTCTCAAAAAACCCACACACGAATGCACAGCGATCCGTGCACCAGTGGCGGTTCTAGACCAATTTGACTGGGGGGCCAGTTATTTTATGAGGAGGGCACAATAAATGCAGGACGAAAAAGAGAACTAGACGGTATGAAGTAATTGCGCATAAGAAAACAATGCAATACAGTTATTGGATGTCCCGATCACCTTTTTTTGCTCCCGATCCGATTCCGATCATTTGATTTTGACAATCTGCCGATACCGATTTTTCCCGATCCGATCTTTATGCAATGCATTAAGAAAAAAAAGAAGGAAAAAAGCATTCAAGTTGTCCCTTAAGGTTATTTTTTTTATTTAAATGGCAGTACCCAACTATCCATTCTATCCAACATGGATATAGCTTCTTTTTTTCACAGCAGCATTGGATCAGTTCAGTTGTGCAGCATTGGATCAAAACAAAATAAAGCTTATCAGTGGTCCACCACAAAATAACCATGTAAACAAATTGAGTGCAGATAGTGCAGTAACAAAACAAAAATAACTACTGGAAAGAGGTAGCTTGACTAGCTTCACAAGTTCACATTCAGTCACAAATAATAAAATAAAATAAAAATGTGGCTTAGTGCAGAATTCTAGCCTTAAGACTAACTAGTCTAGTAATAATGCAATGAACAACAGCAGCTTAACATAACATGAATAAACAAAGTATTATATTTCCATCTTACTGGAGTAACACAATTCAATTGTAATCAGCAGCAAACCACTTCTTTTTATTATTCTACAGTATTGTTGTTTTATAGTTATTTGTTAATGTAACCCAATTTGTGTTCTTTGAAATTGAAAAGGATATCGCATTGTGTTTGTTACTTTCGTTGCAGTTGTATGTGTCTTAAGTGTAATTTGGCTTGGCTTCCTATTTGTGGACATGCTTTTATTTTGAAGGAAAGGTAGCGCTGTTGACAGGAAGTTGTTGTTGCTTTGGAAACAACGTGACGGAGATTAACGGAGAAAATACGTTATATATATATATAAAGACGGAGAAAGTAAACGATAACGTTTATGGTTAAGTGTTAGCACCCCCGAAGAGGCACAAGCTCTTACGTTGATATTGGAGATTTCAATAAATTCAATTTGAAAAAAAAACGGGGAAAAAAATGAAAAAACAAACAATCGTATTAGATTGGTCGTGTTGAACGTAGCTCTGTTCTTTCCACCACGCGGAACCTCCTTCTTGCAAACATTGCATCTGGCTGTTACACTGCCTTCGCTTTCAATTTTATAATACTTCCAAACTTCTGACA